ATAAAAGTTAAATTAATATTTATTAATTAAATATATATATTAAAGTATATAATTAATTAACTTTATATTTAAGAACTATAAATATAATAATATTAATAAAAAAGTAATAATTTTAACTTAAAAATAATTAATTTTATAATTCTTTTTTCTTTTTATCTTTTTCCTTTTTTCTTACCTCTTTCCTTTTCTTCTTACTTTTCTTTCTCTTACTTATCCCAAATAACAGCCATGCATTTAACATCGCCTCTTTACACTATTCTCTTGCTCTGCACAGCTGCAGCTGCAGGTTCCTGTCACCTATCATCTGCAAAGATCGCAAGATGCATTGAGAAGCCGTCTATCAACGCCACAGCGCATAACTACCCAGGCTCTCCTTTATCAGCTCACAGCACAACTTATCCTTACAACGTCACCTGTCTCAACGATGTTCCTGTTGCTGCATCAGCCTGCAAGTCCACTGATCCTGACGAAGCTCTTGCATGTGCGCGCAAATTCATCGATGCCATCGACGAGCAGATCAGCTTTCTCTATGCTCGTCGTTTAGGCTATGCTGCAGTCGCAGGAGCAGCCAAGTTCAACAATGGCACGGCCTTGAATGACCCCACCAGGAACCAGGCCGTTGCTGCCGGAATGGCTGCCAGGGTTCTCAAGTACGGAGGCAGCGAGGAGACTGGCAGGATCATGGGTGGCGAAGGATGTCAGATCTATGCCAGTCTTGAGTATGAGGCTCAGCAAATTCAGAACTGCGGTGGAAAGTTGAACGAGACCTTCGAGAGGGTCTGCAAGTGAGGATCTTCACCATGGGCGTAAACAAGGACGATGCGAGACAGTCTGAGGGAAGCAACGAGATGCCACTGTCAATATGGAAAATAGGGTTGATTCGGATGTTAGTGCGAATTTACCTGAGTCTATAAAATTCTCATCACACGAGTCCATGCGGCGGTCTGGCCAATTGAGCAATCGCTTTAACTTTGAGACATCTCTAACTGACCGTTTTCAGGAAGGTGATTTAGCAATGACATGTTTGTAATTTCCCATGTTACAATCGCTTGTTTCAGTAAACTTTAATAAAGTGTCCTCGGCAATTGTCTACCGTAGCCTTGAGTTTAAAACATCCTTCTCGGCGTTATGCCGTCGGCACGACGACCGGTACATTGTTGCATACCGCCGTTTTTCTTAGACCCCTGAAACGTTTCTCGAATACCATCATGGTTTATTACGAGCTGGCTCAGAATGGTTGTTGTTTAGACCATACCGGCATTTGTTGATGTCAGGTCAGGGCACTATGCTAAATTGGAATTTAGCGCATTCCTCCGTCCCTGCATCGGAGATTCCGCCTTCTCGCGGTCATAGAAGCGGGATATACCGGCCGGGTCCAGTTCCGAGTAGATCGCTGACACAGTCAATGATGTCGCGAAGAACACTGCCTGTGGATAGCCTCATGTCATAAGGCTATTTTGTGCGTCGTGAAACACTTTATTCATATGGCCGCCGTTGGCGCTATCAATTGAGAGACTCATCTTACGTCGTATGAGCTGGGCTGCCCAAACGTTCGGGGAGTTGCTACGGTGGGTATATATGCTTCGTGATTATCTATACGGGTAAAGCCAATTCAAGAAGAACAAGAACTTAAAGTTGATTTCAAGGTTTGAGAAGCGGTGATGTTTATTTTAATAATGTTCTTCGCCCCTGTACTCAAGGGAGCCTCACTCCCTTCAAGGCTGAGACATTGAAGCTCTCCATGGCAGACACCATACCATCCCTTTAAGGGAGGATACTGAGCCAAGCAAGGGGTGTCTTGGCCACGATGACACATTGAAGATAATTCTTCAGCGACTGGCGATCTCTCCATGAGCCTTGGTCCTGTGATCATCCTGTTCTTACTCGCGCTTGAACGACATCTGCCCTTCATGTCTTTGAGCACGATATCACACACTCATTTGAACCATGATGGTACTCAATCGCTGTCGTTGTCAAGCCGACATGGCCATGCTCAAGGTCGCAGCATGGATGTTACGGCGTCGACTCTGCACCGAACCAGTCCTCTCGATCTAGACTTCGCTAAGATTCGACCACTCATTAAATCGGGAACGTACCTTGAACCAATCGACACAAATGTCCGCACCTCAAGCGATGTTCAGGCCGTTTCTCCAACTACACCAAGTGATCCATCAACGTTGAGATTCTCATCGAACGCTGGCATCATTGAGCATTACTCGCGGGCTTGGAATACTCAAGACAACCAAAACGATCGAATAGAGCAGGACTTCTCCGAATTCGAGCAACTGATTGGCCCAACAGCCGGCCACACTCCACGGTGGCCATTCATCAATGATGAAAGCCTAAATACACCGGATTCTGCAGATTCAGAGCCCTTATTTTCACCCTCCCGTATTCCAACGACGAGGCCAAGGCCAATATACCAAATCCATGAAGGTCTTGAAGATCTCGCCGATCTATATGTTCCGCCACTTGACTCAGTGCCCGAAGCTGGCGAGGTAGAAGCACATCTTCCACGACCTCCTCCGACATCTCGAATCAGCCACGCCAAGGTCATGACAGCGGCCGAGTTCGAAGCTCTCCAAAAGCGCAAAGCCCGAGAAGAAGCTGAGAGGCGCTTCTACGGCGGTGAAGAAGAGGAAGACGACAAAGTAGACTACGAGTGTATAGACGATACCGAGGCTGTGAACAGGCAAAAAGCGCAGCGTAAGAAGCAGCAGGCGTATCTCGATGGCGGTTATCGACAACAGATGATGAAGAGTACAAATGGACCTGATCTCCCACCATTGCGCTCTCACTCGCGCATCTCTTCGTCGTGGTCCATGAAGTCGTTCAAGACGTTTCAAGGTTTGCGAGAAGATATCGTCCCAAGGCATGACAACGAAGATGAAGATGAGGATGTGCCTTTAGCACTTCTGCAGATCCAGCGAAGATCAGGCAGCAAAGCTCCATCCGTCATTAACTTCGGTCACACGAGGGGAGAGTCCATCTCGCAGCTCCTACCAATTAACAACATCAGACAAAACTCACGAATACCAATGCCTGAATTTGCAAGGAGTCTTCCGCAAGATATCTACCCAGGGCCCCCACAAACTGCCTGGCCTATGAACAACCAGCAACGCATTCCAGGTGGTTTGGTCGGCGTGATAGCGAGCGAAGAGCGCGCCAAGAAGGCTCGCCGTGTGCCCCCGAGCACCGGCTTCCAACCTCTGCCCGACACCAACGAGGCTTTCAATTGGGGACAGCCGGTCGGAATAGCGCATTCTTTTGGCCTGCCAGGGGCGCAGACCCCGATGGCCTTCTCCAGGCCTCAAACTCCAGTTGCTGTCCCTCAGCTGCCCCCACTCCATTCCAATCAAGAAATGTTCAACTTATTGCAGGCTCAGACTGAGGTTCTGAGGTCCATGGCGACTATGGGCCAGAGAAGCAACCAACACTGGAATGCCTTTTCGTCTCAGCAGCCGGTCATGAACATGGGGCCACCCGGTGCCGGGTCGACGTATGCGCCGTCTCAGTACGCGCCTTCGATCTATGCGAAGTCGAACTACGCACCCTCAAATTACGCCAGATCTGCTTATCAGCAGCTTGGGGGATATGCAGCGTCAGTGGCACCGTCAGAACGCAACACCGTTGGTCTTCCAAGTCGTTACAGACCAGTTTCCAAAGCTGTGAACCAAACACTTTCGGCAAAGGCAACCAAGAACGACGAAGCAATGTCTCTCAGTAACTGGGACAACAATAGATCTAACATTCCTCGTACCAGTGTTGCCATCGAGCAAGATAGCACGGATGATGACGACGATGATGCATTCTGGAGAGCGAAAAGGGAGAAAAGAGACAAAAGGAGAGCGAGGTTCATTCAGGAGAATGATTTAGGAATTAAGGCAGAATGGATCAGCTAAAAAGGAGATACACATGCATAAAGATTTAGAGGGACACAATAGAGCATAAAGGAGAATATGGAATGGGTTAGGATATCATAATCGTGGATAAAATAGTAACCTGATAGAACTAATGATAATAATTCTCTGACCAAAGGCTACAGCATAAACAAATGCCGCTAAGATGAAAACCTAGATCATGACTCTTTTACCGTCATTAACCTTGCAATTTGACATACGAAGTTAAGTCGTCTTGGTGGATGCATTGGAGGCATTGTAAACTGTGGAGGATCAATCATCATATATATTTACAGCCTAAAGCTAGACTTTATAGGCAGCACTTAACTGAGTAACCCGTGGAGAAAAACAAAACCGTCAAAATCTATGTCTTTATCTCATTGGAATTTATAAATCACTATACACCATGTCTCATGTACAAGTTGGTCAGCTTAAAGAAAATACAATATCAACTCCTCAAGCTAGATTTTTGCAAGAAACGTTCAAGTCCTACCTCAAAGGGGCAGGTAATGATTACAATATAAAACAGTGTAAATTTATCTTATTCCATCTGACAAAGATTCATCGTACGTCAACGAGAACACTCTACCGCTCTGTTTCCCTGACATCTATTTGTGAGTCTTTATGCGGGCTCCTTGAAGATAGAGTCGAAGTCGAAGTATGCTTGGCCCCGGCATTGGGATATGCAGGCGCTGCGAGCTCTGACGAAGATCTCGACACAGGGCGAGAGCGACCCGTTGGGTCTCCGCGGGCGGTGGCCGCCAACGCGTCTAGCTGTGTCATGGTATCGATCTGTGTGGACGACCTGGACTTCATGAACGAAGCTCTGTCATCAGCCATGAATTGGTATCGTGCATCTGGGTTCTTTCGCCAGAAGACAAGGGCACTCGATACAATGATCATAAGCAGCAGGATCAGGGAGAAAGCGGCGTTGGCGACAAAGAGAACGAGGCCAGTGACGGAGGGACCCATTCGAGGCATACCGAGAACGTTGGTGAAGATGAAGAGACAGATGGCGTTAAGGAAGTTGAGAACAAAGATGGCAATGTTGAAGGAGTTCGTGCTCTTGTCCATGAAGGGACGCATGACGCTGGTGGCGATGAGAGCAGCGGCCTCGATGAGAATTAGGGCGACTGCCTGGGTAACGCCGCTCTTCTGACTCAGAGCGACAAACATGCCCTTGACGAAGATGTAAGCAAGCTGGGGCACGATAAAATAGTAGCCTGTAGCTCGATACTGGATGTACAAGAATCCCCACTTGTTGAGGATTCGCGAGTTCGAGTATAGAGTAACGACCGGGTTGTTGTGTCTCGCAAGTGTGACGATCTTCAAAGCTGCCGCGGCGAGGGTGAGCAGAACTGTGAAAAAGAAGAAGACCGCGAGGACAACGTGTGCAGCCGAATCAACCTGCGTGAACTCCCAGAGGCAGAGGATAGTGATGGGAGGGAAGCCCATGAAGGTGAGTCTCAGCAGAATTCCCTTCAGGATGGTACGCCATTCAGTTCGGAATTCGAGGAAGCGCTCTCGCTTGATCCAAGCCTGCTTTGCACACAGGTCGAGGACGAGCTTGAAAAGGAAGACAAGGATGCAGGCGAAGACAGTAAAAATACCGAAGAAGACAATGGCGGTTAGGAAGAGATTCGTTGTCTCAATATGTGAGCGGAATGCCACGCGCTGGATGCCGTAGACCAGATATGAGCCGGTTTCGAGTTCAATATTGCCTCGTTTCGAGAAGGCGAAGTCACGACGGATCAGAGCTGCAGCACCAGGAATGCTTTCCAAAGACCGTTTCACAACTTGGACCGAAGCAGTAGCGAGATTGTCAAAGAGACGAGCTGGCTTACCCCCTGTAGCACGGTCATACCAAGTGAAGATATCTTGCATCCAGCCCATTCGGATGATACCCATAGACCACTGGAAGTTCTGCGTCCAAGCATCCACGATTGGTGGCATGGTAACAGCGGTAAGTCCGATGATAGCCTGGGCCTGGAAGTAGGCAAAGAGTGACAAAGTGTTGGCGGCAAGATGAGCAGCTGCATTGCCGTAGCCGGCTAGCGAGATGAGTGCTGAAGAAACAAGGCCAATTCCAATGATGATGGCAGTGACCCATTTGACTGAGAGTTGCTCAACGGTTTTGCCAGTGGAGAAATCAGCCTCGACACATGCAATACTCTCGCCCGTGGAGGTCATGTTGATATATGCGCGCACGGTGGCATCCAGGTCAGGAATGCCATACGCGATGCCGGGAATCTGATCCAAGGCATTGCCAATTGGGAAGTTGAACTTGATGTCGATATCACCGGGTGCCATAGGACATAGACTCGACAGGTCGAAGCTAGTTCTGCAAGGGTCGACAACCTCGTGGATGAATTGATGGCCATAGGCTTCGAGTGTAACATCAAAGTTTACATAGCCTTGAATAGACGCCAGAGCATTCACGTTAACGGTTGCCAGTGAGTTGTTTGGTGTGACGACAACGTGAAAGAGACTGGCAGTCAATAGGGAGCCTTGCTGACAACTGTTGAGCGATTTTGACTCGAGAACCCTGCCGGCCATTGCAGCGGGAAATTGGGCGAGCCATGAGAATAAGATGAGAGATGCTGTGAATAGCTTCATGATTGCGGTGGATTAATGCGGTCGGCTACCGCCGAAATTGACTCGATAGTTAAATGCGCCTGCGCGCCTTGAATTGGACTTGAGGCTGTTGGATTATATGCAACAGTAAAATGCGACACTGTGAACCACCATTGTTGATGTTTCGATGATGCGCGCGATGACAGACTTTCGGCTGACGCGGGTAAGTTCAAATGGCGTTCAGGTCCGGAAAATGAAGCGAGAGTGTCGGACACTGTTGAGCCAAACTATGCCTTGACTATCAAAGACGCTTCAGTGATGGAAGCGATCAAGTTGATAGAACTCGTGATGGTTTCAAGTTGATGATTGAAGTCTGTCGGATGGAGAAACAAAGACGGGATGGACTGGACTCGACGGGGTTGGCATGGGAAATTAGAAATAAGCTAACGAGGGGAAACACGCCAAAAGCGGAGACTTGAGCTCGTCTAGCTCTATAATTGGTGCGTTTCTTGTCCGTAAGCATGTTAAAATTGGACGTCGATACGAGGTCTTTGCCAATCACTGACGCATGCGACATCAGATTATCCCGCATCATGGTATTTCCGACCGAATCTCCTCGTATTTACTCGATCTTGTTGATTGAGATGGGTGAGTAATAATGTGAGAAATGTTGGTAGCGCGATGCATTCTACATCAGCATCTTTGCCCTCATCTTATCTCCACCTATTCTCCCTTGACTCTAAGCGTCCATACGTCATGTATGCCACATCGGAGCTGAGCAACTAAAAAATGGTGGATAGGCTGCCTTGGGCTCCACGCTATTAGTGGAAGGTCCTCAATGTTGATGGAAATACAGTGGGGTCATTAGAGGAGTGCCCTAAAATGGTGGTCCCCAGCCCAGCTGCACTGCCCGTGCTGCTGTTAGGATGCGCCGGATTGGTGGTAGCTTGCCTGCACTGCATCATGACTCTCCTACCCTGCATTGGTTCAAAAAACAGAACATCTTTTCCCGCAAACTACCAAGGAAGAATAGTTATAGGGCTGTCACCTGGTCATCTTACATATAGGTAGCTTCATTATTCAGTAAGTGGGAATAAAGTAATTAAGTTTACTTTGACATTAGTGAGGTGCGAATTGGGTTGGTTCACAATGCCGATGGGGACAGTCCATGAATGTTTATCGAAAGGAGTACACAATTGAATCGCACGACTACGAAACATTTTATGAGCGTTGAAGGTCATCATCATGGATTACTTCGGTACGAAAATGAGGGATCATAAAGCTTTGCCGCACAGTTTCGCATTGTGTTGAGGTAACATCCCAAATCAGGGTCTTTCTCCGGCTTTGGCTGCGGTCTTGATGGGACACGTTCTGCCAAAGCAGCCCCGGACTGCATGAAAAACAGGGCATTTATCCAGACAAGTATCCTGACCTAGAAATACACTCTACGCGAACTGCCTGATTGAGTTATCGGATGGTTTACGCGATATCCCTGGACGATATGCCCAATCAGCGACTGCCGTCATGCCTCGGCGCATATCCTCAGCATCTGTACGACCAACAATCAGCATGGCGTGTTCCCTACAAAATGCTGAACGTTCTCCTCACTTGGCTTTTCTCACTCATCTGAGAAATTTGTTCCAAACAAGCGCTACGCCAAAAATCACAGTGCCATGTCATCTCCTCCTGCACCTGTACCAGTCACATCGTCTGAACAGGCTACTCAGACATCTCCGCCAGTTACAGTTATAAATACCCCAGAGCGATCACTTGAGCCGGCTGCTCCCCACCAACCTGAACAAGAAACAGTAATCGACGATGATTCTGCCTTGAGCGCCGGAGTGTATGATTTCTGTGGGGGATTGACGTTAAACCATAACTGACTTTTGCAGCGACTCATCGACAGCATCTGTTGCTTCAAGTATCTTAGAGTATCGAAAGTTTAAGGGAAGGTCGTACCATTCTACCTACCACGACAGTAGCTATCCTATTCCCACTGACGAACAAACTCTCGAGAACTTTGATCTGATGTAAATGATTATTGCTCGGCACCTCCTCTGGCACAGAGTAGCTACTGATTGCATCCAGGCACCACTTTTTGACACTTCTTACTGACGATAAGCTGTATCTGGCACCTATAAAGGACGATGTCCAGGTACGGTGCCATTGCTGAATAGAATATTTGCAGGGCTGACACTTCGTTATACAGAAAGTGCTAGATGTTGGAACGGGAACAGGTAGGTCACAGCTAGTCAACAGAAATACAAGATGCTAATCGGTTTCTTAGGAATTTGGGCGATGTTTGTACCATTTGTCTCCCATGTTATCTCCACTAACTAAACTCACCAGAGACTATGCTGATGAACACCCAAATACCGCTGTCATCGGTACGGATTTATCCGCCGTACAGCCAGACTGGGTACCCCCTAATCTCAAGTTTGAGATCGATGACTGCACTAAGTCTTGGACTTGGGACGCAAATACCTTTGACTTTGTGCATATGCGTTACTTGTTTGGCGCTATCAGAGACTGGACCGCTCTCTTCAAGGAGGCATACAATGCAGTCAAGCCAGGAGGCTGGGTCGAGTCCTGTGAGTCCGAGCCCATGACACATAGCGACGATGGAACCGTAACGGATGACGGATCAACTGCGCTGGGAGGAACCTGGGATAAGATGTTCATCGAGGGAGGCAAAGCCACTGGATGCTCTTTGTCTGTCCTTACAGAAGATCTTCAAATGAAGGCTATGAAAGAAGCTGGCTTCGTGGACATCCAAGAAACCTTCTATAAGGCAAGTTAAGAGTCCCATAGCATTCTGCGCATACTAAACAACCGCCCCTGAACAGATACCATTCGGTTCATGGCCCAAGGACCCCAAGATGGCGGAGATCGGCCAGTATGCGAAGCTCAGCCTGGAATCTGACCTTGTTGGTAAGGCTGTAAGCCGATGAAATTTGACTGTTCAAAGAAGACTGACCTTTGCTCCCTAGGATATTCGCAAATGATTTGGCATGAAGTTCTGAAGTGGCCAGCTGAGGAATATCAGATTTTCCTGATGCAGGTGCGAAAGGATCTTCGGAACAAGAAACTTCACCCTTACTTCAAGGTTCGCTTTGTCTGGGGCCGAAAGCCTGAGACCGAACATAAGTGAGCGTCTCATAATCGTCTGGCCGGGGGTGTTGGTTTTGGAAACTGGTACTGCATATGGCGATAAACAATAGGCTATGAGGGGGAGGCAAGAAAACTTAGGACCTTTGTCCTGAGTGATAAAAAGACTTAGGCATTTAGCATAAGCTTAGTGGACTATTTACTGAATTGTATTTAGCATCCTCTTCCCAGGTCTTATAAATTCTTGCCTCCCGTTGGCTATCTAGATCAGAAAGCCAACTACGGGTTTTTACAGATTACACTCTCACATTTTCCTGGTACTGAGGAGTCTAAGCATAGTGTAAGAGTAAACAGTCTTTTATGATATTATGCGCTTCCTAGTTGCTATTTTACACGCCCCAACTTCTAACCTAGACAAGCTCCAAGGTGCCGTTGAAGTTTCTGATTCTCTCATCAAGGATGATCGAGCTAAGCACCCAGTCTCCGTCACGAGACAGCTCACCCTCAAGTCTCTGACCTCCATCCACCAGACGAACATGTCGGGCGGAAGATCCGAATCCACCGCCACCATGGCGACCACCACCAGGCACCTGGAGTGTCTGCCCAGGATAGATCAGATCAGGGTTGTTGATGCCGTTATGTCGAGCAATTTCCTCAAAGGAGCAATTGAATCGAGCTGCGATGCCTCGAAGGGTATCGCCTTGCTGGACTGTAACGGAAGAAGAGCTACCGTGATGGCCACCCGCGGACCAGCGGAAGCTTCCTCTGTCATTTTCGAGGACCTTGTCAAGGGAAATGGATGTGTGCTGGTAGTCTCCATCCTCGCGCTTACAAGAGGCGTGTAGAACGTAGTCGCCGTGAGCATCGAGTCTGATATCTCGAGACGAGGCGGTGAAGTTACCAGCGTAGTGACCACCACGACGTCGGTTGGAGCCACGAGAAGAACTTCGGCTTCGACTTCTGCTGCGGCGACGATGGTGAGATTCATAACGATCATCGTCACGGCGCTCCTTTCGCCTACTCTCTTCCTCTTCCTCGCGTCTCTTCTCTTCTTCTTTTCGTCGCTTCTCCTCTTCCTTCTTCTCGTCTCTCTCATCCTTCCAGTCTCCAGCGGCGTCTTGCAGCTTGTGACCGCCGAAAGCTCCAGCCAAAGCTCCGACGATGGTGCTGGTCTTGCTGTGTCCAGTGACTCCGCCCATCTTGTGACCACCGAAAGCTCCAGCTGCACCGCCGGCAAGGGCTCCCATTACACCACGCTCACCATCGGGACCATCTCCGCCGTCAAACTGGCTCTGAGGTCCTTGGTTATATGCAGGAGGGCCCTGTTGGTATTGCCCAGGTCCAGACTGTCCACCAGGAGGATACTGAGAGGACTCGGAGTAGTAAGATTGCGAGAGACCTGGGCGGTCTTGCTGATAACCGCCTTGTTGAGGACCACCCTGTTGGTAGCCTCCTTGTTGTTGACCGTACTGCTGAGGACCGCCTTGTTGATAGCCGCCTTGGTCATTGCGACGTTGATCGTCACCGCCATATCCGCCCTGGCCGGGGCCATCCTGGTTATACCCAGGGTTCTGCTGCTGGAAGTTGACGTTGTGGCCGTAGTAAGTCATTTTGATTGAAGATATTTTGAATATCGAGAAACAGATTCTGCTTCATCTGTCGGGAAGCAGCTTATATATGTCAACTGCCGAGGCGGAGGCAAAGATGGTCTTCCCAGCCACAGTTGACGTCTCCATCAACCCTCCTGACCAAACCCAATCGGAAACCCTGAGACTGAGAAATGTGGATTATCACGAGCACAGCCTCACAAGATTGAGTGATGCCACGTATTGTCTGCGGAGGCTTGAGCGACGCTTGGCCCTGTTCTCTCTGGTCATTGCTGTCTTGGCGTTTGGGCCGTTGCGAATGAAGATGCAAGGATTGGTATTTTTAGAACAGAAGCGTCGTCATGTCCAATGGAACACTGCATATTCGGTGTTGCCACCACCTGTCAGAATCCCCAATGAAGAAATCATTGGTTTGTAGCGAGCCTGTAACTTCTGAGTTATGGTTTCAGATGCAGACGCTGTGTATCAGACATGTTTGTTGTTGGCGTTTGGCGTCTTCTGGAGATGCGCCAAGCCCCCAAGCGGTTAAGGCGGCAAATTGCCCAGCATCGGTCTTGTCCGTGCTTTCATGGGGCATTTTGCGGTCTGGCAAGGCATTTTCTAGGAAGGACAACACAGTCGCCCAAAATGATCATACATAGTGTACCTTTGACTCGACGTGGGTGTTGAACGCATGCCATAACTTGCCCCATGTTTGTGAAATGACAAGGTCTGTCCGCCAGAAAGCTTGACTTTTAGTCCCGATACTTTGACCGGCCCACTCAACATTCGTGAGTTCCAAGGCTTCGTATGAATAAAACACGCCAGAAAAGCAGAAAGACTCTTCGCATCTCACCAGAGCAGCCCAGAGCAATAGGCGGGCGCCTATCATATTTCCTAAACACCCGGTTAGCTGGATATTAGAGTATGAGGACACTTAGCGAAAACAATGGCCAATAAGGCACAGGTAGATAGCAACTGAAACTCTGATATTGACCTTGAGTTTGTATATCGTATTTCTCTCTTGAGAAGGGGTATCCTAAACTAGCTAATCATTCTAAACGGTCATCATACGAAATACCATCCTCTTTCCCAACCACATGACAGTAAAGAGAAAGCTAAAGAGACATGAGGCAATACCAAGGATCCATGCGCCTTCTATAGCATAATTAGAGTGCCACTGCTTCGTCGTTGCACTGACTATATCATCAGCGTTGATCAAGTCAACCCCCTCATGATTGAGTGTCCTCCAAACGTAGTTTCTTCGGGATACAGGCCAGCCTGGTAGTTCCCAGTACCTCGACTTCAAGTTCAACTTCTTTGCAAGTTGAATTTGATTAGCCAGCTTCCCCTGTTGTGACTTGCTAAAGTATGGGATGACAGTTCCGATAGCTCTGAAGAGAGATACAGAAGCTGTGTAAAACTCGTTCTCTTCCACTTCGCGACAAAGTGTATCGTTTCTCTCACAGAATCCGGGGTGGGACAGAAGATCCAACGAGGCATCGAGAAATACGTCGTGGTGTCGTCGCCAATTTTGTAGATCGGATCCGATGTTCACATCCCGCCTCTTGCCAATATTGCCGGTTCCGACCACAGTCAGCGGGCCAGAATGAAATGTCTGGTCTGCCGGCGTTGATCCACTATTCTGGTGATATGAAAGATATCCCTTCTGTCTCAAAGGTTCCAGGTGCTTCAGTACCACCGGCCAAGTCTTCTCTGAGTCATCTTTGACATCGATGAATAGGATCAGTGTCTTGTTCGGATGGTTAGCAAAAACACCAGCACGGTGTCTCTGACCCTGGAGTTCAACCGAGAACTGAGGGGAGTTAAAAGAGTCGAGGATCTCCAATAATGGTTCAATGTAGAGAGAGTTTAGGGTCCTCTCTGGTGTGAGATTCCACCAATGATGGCCGACCAAGAGGTCTTCTCCATTCTTGCTGAGCCAAACGTCGGCCTCGACACTAGCACAGCCAACGGATAAAGCCGAGAACAGCGGCCGAGGTCTCAGGTAGTCATTGTGAGAATGGACCATAACTGGAGTAACTTGAGGCGACAGGACTTCAACCCATCTCTTGGCGCTTTCCATAGCATCACCGTACTTCTCGATAGGGTCGGCCAAGGCAAGGCCAGAAGCTTCGAAGGTGTAGACAGCATAGCGCTCGATCACAAATGTCATCAGGAAAAAGGCGATTCTGGTCAAGACGTCAGCCCGTATATGCGACGAAGAGTTGAGTAAGAACCGACAGGATCAGACATGCTCCAGCAAAAGCAGCGAGAAACGGACTCAGCCACTTCCTCCGGCCTCTTATACATGGCCTTCTTCGCGAAGAACAGCATGTTGTGTAGGGTTTCAAGTCATCTTCATTCGTCGGACTCGTTGGCCGAAGAGGTCGATACTCAATATCGTCCTTGTCAGTCTGGCTACAAAAGTAGCCTGAGAAATTCATGATTCCTGCAGGTGAGGCAAAGAAACACGGACAGCATAGACACTTGCTATGACTGTAACATTTTCCGCCGGACGAGGGCGCATCTTGATGTATAAGAATTAACGAGGGCAATGCGAAAATTGCCCGCAAAGTGCCGAATTGATCATGCGGAGGCTTCTGATCTACGGCTAGTTCCCGGGTGGCCGTATTACAGCTGGTCTACATCCCACGTGGTTCCACCATGAGACTCTTCACCGACCAATCCAATTCATCAGTTCAACCACGAAGGTTTAGTTTGGACAATAACTCAAGCTTCATTCAAGCTTTTTGAGGATCGGCTGTGGCAGATGGCTTGTCTAGACTATTGAGATGAATGCGATAAGCACACGTGTATCGATGAAGGGACGCGATGCCTCACGCACGAGTCAAACAAAGAGGAGGTTGCATCGCAGGAATCTTCATTGATAAGACCAACTGAACAGACTTGACTCAGACAGAATTAGCTTATAAATCTGCACTACCTAGTCAGCCACCTCTGCTATGCAGTCTCTTCGGTACTGCAAGCATATACTGGAAATCTCACTTTGCCAGAGACAATCTAGTACAGGTATATACCGTAGCTACACCCTACACTAACACATACGACCAAAGGTAGTGGAAAATACGGGATCCCGTCCGCTCTCCTATAGTCAAGCCACTAACCGGCGGATTAGTAGTTGGGTCGGTGATGACCAGCGAATCCCCGCTGTTGTATGTTATTTTTGCCGAATTTCCATTTTTACGGATACTTAAACGATCTCAATTCAACACCTGACGATGTATATGTAGCGAGATAATGAGTATGTCGGTGTAATACATAGCTCCCCGTTATGGCTTCGCTTTTACCGCCAGGCCGCCAGCTCCTCTAATTCCACTGATACTGGTTCCTCCCTTCGATCTATGCCGCTCCTAAATGTTTGCCTGTAAACCAGCTTTTCCTTACCTCTATTGTTGTTGAACCCAAGAAGAAGCTGTCTTACCGACAACGACTTGATCATTATCTTGATCTCATCTGAGGATCAAAAGCATGCCCTCCAGACATACTTTAAAGTTATCGATGCCATCTTGTCTGACTCGAGACTTCCGAATGTTGAACGGCCACACATTTACTCCGCTTCATCATACCACATGTCGCCCTTGACATTCATTTTACACACGATCTTCTTTCTCTGGATCATCATGACAGCATCGACATGAGCATCACCACCTGTCCATCTTTTGTATCTCTCACCATCAACTCACTCAGAGCTGGGACCAGCAATCATGCCTCCATTCCATCCCAATCTATCTGCGTAAGAACGGTTCTCCTTGTGCTTTCTTGATGAATCCCCGCTGCAGCAACTGGGTCAGGCTGCTGACCGAAAGCAGCCTTTTCACGTGTTTCAATGACATGATACATTCAACTGTGGTCTCAAGATCAGTTTCTACCTCGCCCTAACCCGTGAGGCACATGGGCTTGGTTCTAGAGATTCGCGGTTGAGTCAAATGCTATCGGTACGTTGAGACCGCCTTGCTCTCCAGTATTCGTCATGACTAAGACGCTCATCTTAACGATGTTTCCCAGAACGCCACCCGTCTGATAGCTCCGACCTGGAACCATAGGCATTATGGCTCTTATTAGTGGCAGTGTCATATGTAGACCAATCAACTGCCAGCTGTCGTTTACGTTCGCCTGTTACGAATCACTACACTTTTATAGCGCCAGATCGCCACCGCTAGAGCAAATGCTGGTTGAGAATTCATTCCTCAGATGTCTTCCATTTCTAGCAACCATAAGCCGGGCCAATATCTTATAGAACAGAACAATTGCCTGTTTCGTTACAGTTGGTCGACAACGAACTGCATACACGTGACTCATAGGACTTTAGGCAGCAACCCCGCGAGATGTCGTATATATATGTCAGCTTTGCCCCCAAGACTTTCATTATTCAACAGGTCCCATTATCAACTTCCATTCTCTATTAGTAATGCCAAGCTACTCGAGTGACCAGTTCCTGAAGGATTGGCGGTACGCCATCAAGCAAGACTTCACTACATCTCAAGGGAACCCATTCCCATATGCTGAGAACGGCAAACAGCAATGGGATGATGAGATCAAGAAGGTTACCCTTGAAAGGCAGCCACATACCGGTTCTGTGAGCAGCAATGGAAAGTATCTTGCTCTTGGAATCGACCATTTCATCCATATTATCGATACCCAGAGCTGGAATACCATTGCAGTTCTGAGGGGTCATACAAACAAAGTTGAAGCCCTGGCATTCAGAACCGACCGCTCAGACGTGCTAGTCTCGAGTGAAGAGCAGGTATACGACGACTCGGGGAATTCTGAACCACCTAAGATCATTCTATGGAACATCGAAGAAGAAAAGTCAGCACCGAGACTGAGTGACGATCAGGTACGAAATGCCAGTCAGGCCGCTCTTTCAGCTGCTGCAGACAAGTTGGCGGAAGCCGGTATCAATCTAAGCAAGGACGAACTCCGCCATCTAGATGTAACTCTCGGGCCTGCTGTCAGTCGCACTGTCTCCAAGCACATCGCGGCGAGTAAAATGACCATAGAAGGCCGACTACAATCAGCTCTCGGGTCTCAAATTTTCAGCCCTTCAGGAAGCTGGATGACATATTTGCCTGGAGAGTCACCTGTCTCGAATGGAGATGATTCATGGGATATTCAGATCGTTTCTTCTGACGATCTTTCCAAGGGGCTGGTTCTGAAGGGCCATACCGATGTAGTCATGTGGACAGGATGGAGCCTCGATGAATCAGTCTTTGCTTCTGTGTCATGGGACGAATCGATCCGTATTTGGGATGCTATTACGGGGGAGCAAAAGTACAAATTCAAGACCGAGGGGCAGAACTGGGCAGGTGTTTTCAGTCCTGACTCGAGCTACTTCGCAGCAACGGACGGACTAAGCAACGTGTGGGTTTATTCCCTGGCTGACGGAGGGCAGCACTGGGTATACAAAGGGCAACGATCTGATCGCTGGAGAAGGACTCTTGCATGGCACCCAACCAACCCGTGGCTTGCTGTAGGTGGAGAGAGCAATGGCGAGCTACTTCTCCTTGATATTAGTAAGAAGATCTTGCTACAAAAACGACTATTCTCTACAGATGCTTGTCCAGTGGACAAGGAGTCTCGTGATATGATGGAAGACTTCGCTGGGACGTTGGAAACGAGGTTCTTCGACGGTGGAAATAAGCTTGCAGTTTGGGCATTCGGTGATTGGAGTATTGAAGTCTACGACCTCAAACAGGAAGTTAAGTGGCGGTTTGCAAGAGGTGGCACAGAAGATGGGCCAAACGCTGGCAAGTGGAGGAACGAACAGGGCAAGGTCACTAGCAAGGGGGGTTACGAAATGCTGGCTTAGGAGGACCACTCGAAGGGTTCCCTATTTCTTGCCAGTATCGACTTCGATGCTGTCCGTTTTTGGGAGGTACCGCTGACAGCTTGAGCCTATTGCGTGAGTGCATAGCATATGAGCTGGCTCAACACCAGCCATCATGTCGATATCCGCCTATCTTCCATTCATAATAGGCTGACTGAAGTCCCTAAACACAATCATGGAGGTTTAGCACTGTTTGGCTGCAACCAGTTGATTTAATCTAGCTATAGGATAAAAAAGTGATGAAAAAGACGGATTTCTCCATAAGATTAGTTAGTGCTCGCAGAAGTTCCAATTCTGAGCCCGCTGTCTGAGGCTGTCGCTGTTTACGACCTTTCGTTCTAATATCAAATCTTCTCTGATCTGTCTTGCTTCATCTATTCCATATGGAAAGTCCACCTTCTCAGTTATCATATCCATAATTTCACTAGGAAGGCAATTGAGCGGTTCTGACTCTCTGAGCTCATCCTTCCACCAATGCTTTTGCTGAGGGGGCACGTTGCCTGTCGAGATGATCGGGATGACTGGGTCAACAAGAAATAAAGCGACGATCTTGCGATACCCTGGGCGCGTCTTGTCGGCCAACTCAAAAGGTTCAACTCGGTGCTGATAGATATTGGGGAAAAATAAGGCTCGACCTTCTGGTGTCATGACGCTCCCGAGATCCTGCATCTTATCCCCTTTAGTTTTGATGGCAAAGATCGCTTCAATACCATGGTGGTCTCCCTGAGAGTAACTAAGCCTATCTCTAAGGTTGTCTCTATCCGCATGAGTACGGAAGGAAAGACGAGACTCGGTGATGTTATCGCTGTCGTAGTAGAACAGAGCCGTGGCGCAGATATGTTCGTTGAGTTGCCCTTCAACATGCCATGAGCCACCATCATACATGGGTTTCTCAGGAGTCAGATGAATGTTTGCCATCTTGACAATGACTTGAATTTGTGAGGCATCGTTGAAGAAACCTTCACTTTTGAAGTGGGATGCATTCAGGGGGTATGTTGCATCCTCCAAGGGTTCTGGGCATTTAATTTTGTGGGTTTCTGACCACCATTCCCTGTTCAATCGCTCTCCCTCTTCAAAGACAGAACTAGTTTCCGAACCACTGTCATAATCCTCACCTTCTGCGAATGATCTACTACTTGGATAGCAGCCGTGCATCTTCGCACAGATCTCGGGCACGTTGCATGTCCACTTGACTTCGTGAACGGTTCCGAATCTCTTGAACCTAAACTCCTTGCGAGCTGAGCGGCAGACAATATCCCAAGCGGGAAGGGATTTCGCAATAAGCTCTTCAATGAGGGAATATACGGCTTTGTACCGGATGGGGTGAAGATTGTTGATATAGCTCTTGATTCGTGGTCGACCACCTGTCAGATCAACATCGCATGGAAGCCACTGGTATCGTAGTGACAAAGCTCTCTTGTCGTTATCTTCAGTGAAAGATCGAATTCCACCTGGCATTCTGAGATGAGGCCTTTCAGGCTCCGGGATGACTTTTCCCGAGCCACAACGATCAAGGCACTTGTCTAGCGTTACATATTTGTCGCAGACAATTCGAGATCGGCCAAACACTAACGGCCAGAGTGAGGGATGAACAAGGTCCAGAACCATTTCGTTGCTTCCCGGATGCCAGTCTCGTTGGGACCCAGGGACGTCTTCAAGTAATGCAGCCGCAGCTCTGAGCTTCTGTGTCAACTCATTGGAGAGAAGCGCGTCAGACTTGATGGCACAAGAGGAAGATTCCATCACCGGGATTAGCTTCATTTGTTCGTAAATCTTAGCCTTTGTCGCAAGATCCTTGAAGCACTGGAAAGCGTCAGTTAAAAGATATCATCAGTCCTTTCTATTGGTGCTCACCATATCTACCATCTGGCTTGTGAAGTCACCATTTTGCTGATAGCTTGCCCATGGCATTTGTAGGGCTTCTTGCTTCCATTTAGAGACAATATCAGTTTTCAAGACTTTCTCCCACCAATGCGGCTTGTTTGTGATGTCCTCCTCTAACTTGAGCATACACACTTCACGATTCATGAGTGTTCGCGATTTCCAATCTTCTTCATGCAAGCCAAGGAGGAAAGGCTGACGCTTCTTGCTGTCTATGCCGAAACTCAAGGGGAGACCATACCCTGGAAGCCTGAGAATACCATCTCTCTTCTGAGCTCAACCGGGCGAGTTAGCTTCTGATCTATGTATTGCCCTGATGAGCCAGGTCACTGAAGATTATGGACCTACCGCTGTGCCGTTCAATAGCCTATGTAACCAGAAACGCTCAATATCATTTCTGCTAGAACTGTCATCTGCTATGTGCTTGCCGACCAGTTCGTGGTATTTTGCGTGTACTACTTCGATAGTGGGCATAGACTCTTCAAATCCGTCAATCCAGGCAATCAATTGAGCGATTTCTTGGCTAATGACAAGTTCTTCATCATCGTCCACATAGTCTGAGTCTTCCCACTCTTCGAAAATGCGAGTGTAAACGTACTCATCACCAACCCTTTGAATGGAATAGCGATGCATCTTGAAGGCGGGCAGAGCTTTTGTGGCGAAAGTGATAGAACGTTGCCCTCGCGGTTGTGGATTCCATGTTCATCGTCGCTTATTATGGGTTACCTACGCATTGCTAACCCTGCGCTTTGACCAGACATGGCTCAGCTCATCCGCGAATACAATGCCGTTACATTGAAATAAAACACTACAGTTTTCCGTTATTCCAGGATAGCAAGATTACTAAGCTTGTATGTTCCAAGACTGGACTGTTGAGTCTGTCATGAGTGACTTGATCTTGAGATGCGAGTGCTCTCTGTGGCTATGGGAAGGCGCAGCAGAGTGGGTGGGGAGCAACTGGTAATAATCAAGGGTGTCAAAATAAACAGGTAGGAGAGCGGGCTAGTTAATACTGTGCTTGCCTAGGTCTTTTAGTCACCGATGCGGCCCAAGCGGGATAACATTTGCTCCGCTCCGTCGGACATTCGTTCATTACTGGCCGTCTCAGATCGTCCAACAAATTTCCGTATTACGACAAAGCTTCGTAGCAACTTGTCCACTCGTTTTTGACGCATTTATGGAGACTTTTGCAGTCTCGCGACAGAGCCAGCGAAACGCGAGCTCATTCAACGGACGGTGCTGATTGGCCACAGTACCCCGAGAATCGAGCGAGATGAGGTTCAAGGCTGAAGTTGATGATGGGGATTGCGAATTCAGCGAAGGCGATGCTCAAGACTTCAATTGAAGATCAATCTTATATAAGTGAATGATGGAAACCCCCCCAGTGCGTTCTAATTCATCATCACTCAAGCGTTGTACCAAACATTCACTCAGCACATCAACCTAATTTGACACCACCCTCTACCATTAACTCACCAACACAATGGCCACTCATACCATCCGCAAAGTCGTGTACTCTGCCTACGGCGGTCCCTCCAACGTGAGCGTCGTCACAGCTCAGATCCCCCCTCCAGCGAAGAACGAAGTCCAGGTCGATGTCATCTACTCAGGCTTCTCTGGCGCCGACATCCAGATGCGACTTGGCACATACCCCATGCAAAAGGCGGCACCTTTGACACCCGGCTACTGCTTCGTTGGTCGCGTCAGCACTAATGGGGACAAGTCCTCCAAATTCCGCCCTGGTCAGCTCGTTGGCGCTCTTAGCGTGTACGACGCTGAGGCTCAGAAGATCAATATCCTCGAAAAGTACCTGATCGCCATTCCTGAGCGAGTTGATATGCAACAGGCGGTTGCTGCTTTTCTTGATTGGAACACCGCTTATGGCCTTGTTCATCGCGCGACAAATTTGGTTGGCAAAGGCCAGCGCGTCTTCATCCATTCCATCAGTGGCGCTGTTGGCTATGCCATCATGACCCTGTGCCTGCTGGAGGGCGCTGAAGTCTACGGCACTGCTTCAGAGCGCAACCATGAGTCTCTTCGCCAGCTCGGAGTAACACCCTTTACCTATGCCAACAAGAACTGGGTCAGCGAAATGAAGCAGCGCGGCGGTGCACACGTAGTCTACGATCCAATTGGCTTTGAACACTACAATGATTCATGGGACATTCTCATCACCGATGAGCCCTCTCGTCTTGTTGGTTTCGGTGGTAACATGAACATCCTCCAGGGCGATGACGCCAAACCGCGATCGCAGTACGTCGGAATGGCCAAACTTCTGGCCAAGAACGGCTGCTTGTTCACCAAAAGAAGCACCTCGTTCTACTATATTGACCGCGATCGCGCGACATTCATGGAAGATCTTCAAGCCGTCATGAATCTCCTCATTGATGGAAAGGTTGAGGTCCCGATCAAGAAGGTCTGGGATTTGGAGAACGTGCGGGAGCCCCATGAGACTTGGGGCAAGGTCCCTGGGATGGGATCATGCTTGATCCGTGTTGACCCCAATGCTCCTTGAGCAGGTAAAATTGATGGCTATAGGCGACTGTTATCATTTAGTTCATAGCATTTTCTTGGTAGATTGCCCTGTATACGGATTTCGCTTTTTGCTTCAAATGTTGACCTGCCGTTTGTCTACTGTGATTTTAACCTTGAAGCGTTCTTAAAGTAGAAGCGTCAATGGCGCCCAAATAGCGATGGTACTGGGCCAGTTCCAGGCGCTTTAGCGCTACAGTGCCTCGCATGGATTGCCCTTTACGGGATCAGAGGCTTCAAACTTCACTAGCTACTCCCCACGACAAGATCTGAGCCGAACAGAATAATAATCACCATGACTTGCAAGTCAAAGACAGATTTTCTTACTGGCTACCAGAATTAGCGCCGCCAAATTCTTGTTGGCTCTCGAATGAGCTTCCGTTTTGGGCCTTCTCACCAAGCATGCGAAGCTATATATAAATCTCTTCAACCAGAAGCTCGACATGAATGCAAAGTATTATATTCTTCTCGAATAGCTGAGAAATCGGCTTGAACTTTCCAATGGCAGGTCTCAACGCTGTTCTCTTGATCACGGGGGCTTGGCACGTCCCTGAACACTACTACAAACTCATTCATGAGCTGGAGAACCATGATATAAGAGTCATCTGCGAACGTCTTCCAACAAACAATAACGTTGTGCCGCCAAACAAAACAATCCAAGATGACATAGACTTCATCAAAGGCATCGTCTCTAAGGAGGTTGCTGCAGGCACGCATCTCACTGTCATTGGTCACTCGTGGGGAGGCATGCTTGCTTCTGCAGCTTTGGCGAATTTTGCTGCTTCGCCCGGGTCAAAAGAAGGAGGTGTCACTGACGTGATCTTCATTGCCGCCTTCATTCCTTTGGAAAATGATTCATTGGCCGGTCTCTTTGGTGGAAAGCTTCCTCCTGCGCTTGTCCCTGAATCTAACGGGACTCTTGTGCCGACTGATCCCATTCATCTTTTCTATCATGACCTGCCGGAGAAGGAAGCTCAGTGGGCCAAGAGTACAATGGTAGCTCATGGTACAGATGTTCAATACGCTCCAATCGATTGTGAGAAAGTTGCATGGCGTGTCATTCCGCTGGCTTATATCATTTGTGAGGAGGATCAAGGATTGCTCAGCTTTTTGCAAGAGGGCATGATTGCAAAGGTTGAAGAGCAGGGGGTTACCGTTCAGAAGTATCGGTTACCCTCCTCTCATAGCCCTTTCTTGAGTATGCCCAAGAAGCTTGCTGACATCGTGCTGGGGTTCATGAACTCACGATAAATGTCAGAAAATGTACTTATCTACCTGCTCGGTTTAAGTCAGGTCCGGCAGTCACAAGCAAATTGTAGTAAACTCAGCAGGAGACCCCTTCATATTCCTTTCAGAACCCTTGTTTTTCAGATGAATGGCTTCACAACCGAGTCTGATTTTTCACTACGAGCAATGTGATGGTCGCCTCCTAGTCTTTAAGTCAGTAACGCAAGAATACGGTGAGAGAATTGATGCAATTAAAAGCATCAGTTGCGTTTATGAGTATTATTTGGTTCATGACACAGGAAATCAAGCCTTGAATGTGCTGGCTTGACGTTTGCCACGTGGATGTTGGGGGATTCGATGATACGTAGCGAACAGCAACGTCGTTCGCACTATTTTGTGACAAATATAAAACATAACAACAGCAAAAAGCAGAAGAGTATGTTTTCATGACAGGTATTGCTTCGGTGGCCCTTATTCAACCGTATAAGAGCCTAATAAGGATGGGAGGCTCACGAGAACAGGCTCACGAGTTCGGAGAGTCATCAAGCAACTACTAATAACTTCCCAGCTCAGCTAACATTTGAGATTAATTAATGCAGACGGGGAAAAGATATAGATGCGCTTCATCTACCCATAGAACTAAAACCACTCTCACGTCCATACCTTCCAAGCTAGTATAGCAAAGCACCTTCGAATTCTAGCTAGACACTCAAACTCACAAACATACACCGAAACCCTTGCCCATTATGTGCCACATAGTCTACCGTGGGCTCAAATTTGGGCACTGTAAAGCGACCAAGGCTCCAGGGGAAAAGACCTTCCAGAACTGCCAGCGTGCCTTCATTCAGGACAAATATCCTAAGCGATGCATTCCTGGAGAGGAGTGTGAGAAAACCTCTAGTACTCATTACAAGTACTTCACGTGCAAAGGGTGCCGGGATGCCTTCTTTGAGCTTTGGAACCAGGACCTTGTCGTAAAAGTAGAAGTCGATTCATACGAATACTGGTTTGAAACTGGAGGCTCTGCTACCTGTAATGACCCCTATTTGGAGCTATAGCGATGCTGGAAATTGAAACGCTCTGTTGAATACCTTTAGAGGAAGCAGCGGGTTTAAGGTGACGATGAGATCTAGGCAGTCAAGTTTAGGAGGGCCGAGTGGATTCTGGAGCATGCAAATGCTCACTAGAGAGGAGAGACTCTTTGACTTTCAGAGAGGTAAGGACCGAGAGAGGTCAAAGTGTAACACAGATTCTTAAAAGAAAAATAGGTTGGAAATTGAAGGTTGGTAGACTGCAAGTAGAGGCCTATCAGCAGAACCATTCTTGCCATCATTCTTGCCATCCACATAAACGAATGTCACTTGCTACCATTTCGTTTGATGAAGATTATCATTCCAGAAGTAAATACAAGGAACATTGAAAAATAAAATGAATCATAAGCCATACTTCTACAGACCTGTATCAGCTGAACAGAGTCATAGGCCTTGCCGTTACTAACTCATTAGGTGACATGATAGCACCAACCAAGGCTATAAGCTACTTGAATCATGAGATTCATAGAGCGAGCCACTGATTCTTGAGATGCTGCAAACTAAAAATACAATCCAAGGATGATGATACACCCTAAGCATAATGTGTTGTTGTCTTGCAGGGTGTTTCCAATGCTTTTCTCCTGGTTCAATTCGTCCAATATCCATTACGGTACAGAGGCATGAATACATGGCTATGGCGCCCTCAAGAAAAAAATCAATATGCTATAATAATTCAATGTCAACTATCGGTCGCTGAGGTTGCAGAGGCTGTTCTATAATCAGGAGGCAGGGCTCCACCTTGCTGGGTATGCGGTTGCAACGGAGTCCGGAGCGCCGTGCGATATGTCGGAACTTTGCTAAGTTCAGCAAATTCTTCTGGGTCGGTAGATACAGTTTCGGATGAGCTGCGAGATGGGTTGTGGCTCTGGCTTGACTGTGATGATTCTAATGTGTTGGAGGTCTCGTATGTCTGACTCTCATTCGAGTCTGTGTGGTGAGGAGTGCTGGTACCAGACCCGTCTCCCTCGCCCTGGTAATTACCTTGGCCAGGAATCTGCCATTCCTCCAGACTGTCGTATAACTGGTCGAGAATGTGTTCTCCATATACTGGCGGTCCTATTAATTCGCTTGGTGGTCCTTGTGTAGTAGGGGCTTGGTCGATCAAGTTGCCTTGGTCGTCAAGAGTGATGGACGGTGAAATGAAGATGTTGACTGGAATACCCAAGTCAAGCTGAGAAGTTAGCCTTTGCGCTATGTACCTTGAAAAGGGTTGACTTACATGCGAGACATGCCCGTCCTGATTCCGAATGGGTATGTGTATCTTGAGTTTGTGATAGACCCTGATGCCTTGTGTGTCTATGTCTTGAATGCATAACATGAGTGTCGAGCAGACATGGATCAACAAAGTCGACTACTCGGTTTCTATACCGACCAAAGCCGCTGTATTCGGCGGCTCGATAGTTCTCGAAACCCGATTTACACCACTGGTTAAAGGGCTCGAAATTGAAAAGATTGTCGTAACTTTGGTGGAGTTTCAGGAGTTCAGCATGCACAGCAGACACTATATCTACACAAGAGAACACAAAAGCAAGCGCGAGATTTCCCAGTGGGACTTTGAGATGTCAAGAGAGCAATATTGGCAGGACACTATAGAGGAAACGGGTCAAGAGGGATGGGTTATGAAGAAGACGCTGCAGTTACCAAAGAGACTGAGCGAGTGCATGAACTCCAGGGCAGTTGGTGCAAACGTGCGAATTATTCGAAGCTTCTTGGTGCAACTGATATGCCGAGCAAGCTTGCCTCTGCTGATAGTCGCTCTCAACCCATATGTTATGGAAGCATCCCGGATACCCTCAAGGCTCTCAGAAGTGTCTCCCGCCATCATCAGTTCGAACGGCCACTCATAGTTGCCAGCTGGTAGAGTGATAGTCTTGCCACCTGTTTCCAACAATGAGGGCCACTTGTGCTTCATGATGCTGGTGTTGTGCGCCACGCCGGGATCGTTTAGCCATGCATGGCGTACAGTACCATCTAGGCGAAGTCTGACTTCATCGAGCTTGAGCGGCGACTGTAGACACAGGACTACGACGCCCTTGAGTAGTTGATCCGTTGATTCATATCGACTACCCCAAAAGACGACAAATTCGCGTTCAAGTCTTGTAGTTATTTTAGTAAATTTGTAAAGGTTGTGTTGTCAGGATACATACCTGATCTCGAAGAGAGAATACGGTGTTGACGCTACGCCACTGAAAGCAGCGGCGAGAGGCTGGTTATTGTGTTGGTTCGTCGACGAGGCTTGCATGGTGCTGACAGACGCCTATGCAAGGTTTGAAAGAGTTAGTCTAGCACATTTCTCCAAAATTGAGGCTGAAGGATTTTCGCAATAAAAGGACATGTCGCAGTGATTTCGTTGGGGCAATTGGCAGGTATATCTCTGAACCTCGGCATCCGCGTGGGCCGATACGGAGAAGACGATAAGAGTTTAGCTGGCCATGAGCTGATCTGACGATGCAATTTAGTCCGGCACGGAACGATCGGCGACAGAATCAGCCCGATGCATCAACATTCCATTCACCCCGTGACACGGCAGATCGGTTTGTTGTCTTTACCCGCTGGGGTTTAGGCTGCGAAGCCCAACAGCACCTGGATTTGCATGTGATGGGATCCGCACTTACACCGCGTGTCTTGTTGTGATTCCAGAACATAACATTTATGCATGAGAACCTTGTTTTTTATTGCATCTGAAGACTCCACATTATTTCCGTAATCTAAAAAAACCATGTGAAGAGTATTTATGGACTGAAAACTCGCTGCATGTGCCTCTGAGGTCTGCTTCAGCTACTCTGATCATATGAAGAAGAGCTTGACACGTCACTCACTACCGCATAAGCTTACTGTGTTGCGCTTTGTCTTATCATGTATAACGTCATCCGCAAGAAAGATTAATAGACCTGATTTCAGTATGGTACGTCTTCGTGCAGGAGCCTCATAAATTGTTGGTTGCTGTGAAACCAATCCCCGATCTGGAACGACGCATCGTATTCGGCACCGATTGCAACGTCAGTTGCGGCAATTCCATCTACAGTATTCACTGCCTCGGGATCAATCATCGTAAAATCGCTTGAGCTTGATAGGGATGCACTCGTGTGTGAAAGCTCGGGGCATGCTTTGGCACTGAGTCGGGCGGCTTTGCTGAGAAGTTCGTAGAGTCGATGGGGATGCGTCGCCGGCTCTGAATGGCTACACTCCGACTTGAATGACGATGCGAATCTGTCCAGGCGGTCAAAATCCTCCACAATTGAGTATCTCACTGCATGAGTGAATACTATGCTGAATGGAAAGAAGGGCGTATGCAAGATAGCCCTGCTAAGAAGTCAGCTGACGGTAGAAAAAGCGGCTGAAGAATAGTGTGCTTACCAGTTTATATATCTTCGAATCAACAGCGGATCTTTGCACCCGTTGACTAGTTTCATGCACTGATCATGCAGGTCTAAGGTGTTGCGAGCAACAGTGAGACAGCTTTCATGCACCTCCATGCCTTGGGAGCCAGGCAACACCCTAAGAACCATGGCCGTTAAGGCTGATTGGCAAACGAGATCGCAATGAAGGTATATGACTTTCATAGGGTCATCACCCATGTCTCTATTCTCAGCCAAAGCTTGCTACATACATTGTCAGTCACTCTGTCAAGACGGAAGGGGTTACCACGTACTGCGATCTCGTGATGGGTCTCATCTATGATACATTGAAGCTCCTGTGCAAGACCATTAGCTACCTCGTAACGGGTAGCGTTCGATGTTTTTAAGCCCTCAGGGCTATACAACTGGTCATAGGTCTTTCCCTGTATCCGCCCGAGACGTATGGATCGATGCTGATTTGCCTGACGTGGCGAACATACTTCAGAGTCGCGAACACCAGAGCATCGTCCCAGTCTCAATGAGAGGCCTTTCTCGTATGCGTAAACAACCCAGAACAAGTCGGACTGTATATGTTGAAGGCCATCTTTGGGAGAGTCAAGCCGATGATAGCCCAGTGTCTGGCACAGCGTCATTGCGGTCGAGATCAATGTCCACGACTGTGATGCTCGACTTTCCTCGACCGAGTAAATGGCCTTACGAACGTTAGCTGCTGTCTTGGGATACGGTTGATGCCAGCATACCCCAAGAGCAAGCGCGGCGACCAATTCCATGCATGGCGCCGCCAACAGAGTCAGTTTCGCAAGGCCGCTGCCAACTTTGGACCGATAAAAGCGACAATATCCTTGTGACTTCGCATCTCCGTGAATGACAGCATATTCAGCAAACACGTATGATAAAAAGCTATTCGCGATGATAAACTCAGCCTCAGTATGATCCTCGACACGGAAGTAGACCTTGTTGCAAACATCTAGAAAGACATCGAGCGGAAGGAAACGGCATATCCAGACAACTCTATGGTCTCGTGAGTGATCTAATATTGTCAGTATCGATAGAGAGAATCATGCGCTGATATACCTTTGACCCATCGCAGGATTTCCACGATGGCTTCCAATGGGGGCGTCGGAATACTTTCTGGTGGCTCATGAGGCTTAGGCAGTTGGCTTCGTGTCATCTGAGTGTTCTTCAAAGCATTTACAAGACTCTTCAGCGAAGAAATGGTGCTGCTCCACTCAGTATCCGCTTGAATTGAGCCATTGTCCTGAATAATGGATTGAACAAAGTCGATGATATGGGCGGAGTAATCCCAGCGAGGAGGCGGAGCAGCGCTGTCAGAAGGCCGGGGCTTATCCAATTTGTTTGCTTCAGCTGGGCTTGGAGATGTAGAAGCCAAAGGACGATGCTCTTGTGATGTTTGAGCTGGTGCGACTCTATTCAGGTCGAGTCCTGCCAACAGTGTCTTAATGCTGCTGACATCGCGGGAGATGTCATCAATCTTTCGCTCACTGTTTCAGAGAAATTAGGTCTCGAACGTTACAACCAAGCAGATCTCAAATACTATTTTTCAGAGACCAAGACTCTTTGTCGGGCAGTGCTTGGCTTGGGTGCGATCGTGCTGTGAGTGCAGTCAACGCGGGCTGATACGCAGTTGGAACAAGGCGTTGCTCTGTCACATCCGATCTAGTAACTCTTAGTAGACGCCAAACATATTGTAATTGAGGGTACCTTTCTTGCTCGGCATTGATCGCACTAACAAGCATGTCAGTCAACAACTCTGTACAGTAAATAGTATTGGGAGTTTTGTATGGGTCTATACCGAGCGGCGACTGATCGCAGGGCGGTTTGAACCTCCTTTGTCATTCGGAGATGCGCGCGATTCCATACTGATTAGTTGGTCGGTAAAGGTTTTTCATTGACAGAGACTCAGTCACAGTGTTACGAGGGAGGGGACGAGCTCTACGATGACAAAACCTCCCGGAAACGCGCGGATTTCCAGGTATTGGTCAGTTGCGGAGTCAGCCGAGCCAATCAGAATTACCAAGCCACCTCTTGGTACCTGGAGAATTACATTTGCGACGGAGATGTGTAGCTGAAGGTCAAGAGATGATGACTATAAATGAATGATTTCTGCTCAAGAGGAATTATTCGGAACCCAAGCTAAGTTCACAGCTAAACGACAGCCTGCAATTCATTACATTACATTACGTTATCTTCTCAGCATCATGCCTCACAACGTCCTTGTCACTGGAGCTGCCGGCTACATGTAAGTGAGCCATCGTGATCGATCTCCTTTACTAACGATAAACAGTGGTGGTTCTGTCGTCGCCGATATTCTTTCTCGCACCGATGAGTCGTTGAAGGAAATCAATATTTTTGCGGCTGCTCGAAGCCAAGATCAGGTCGATAAGATATCCAAACTCGAAAGAGTCCATGCCTTCCTCGTCGACCTCCAAGATAAGCCTGCTGTGGAATATGCAATTGCGAAATATGAGAGTAAGCTTTCAGCTTGTGTCTGGGTTCGTTGTGTCTGACAATCTTCCCAGTCGACATCGTCATCCATACAGCTGGAGCCATTTTCCCAGACATGTTGTCAAACCTGCTCAGCGGTCTTGGAGACCGCCGCCGAGCTACCGACAACAACACATACCTGATTCATGCAAGTTCCTCCTACATACATCTGAAGTCTTTCTAATACCTCAACAGTCTTCGGTTGCGTCCATGTTTACCGAGGAAGGCGGATGGCCTTTCGGCAAGGTCAAAGACTCTGATCCCCTCATCGATAGGCAGAGGGAGCTTGGCCTTGATAACCCTGTTCGAGAGGTAGACTTGGAAACCTATGTGTGAGGTGGTTTTCCATGCTGACGAAATTTAGACAAACATTGTTCTTGCCGATGAAGGGAAGGCCCAGGGCGTCGAGACTTTCAACATCCCCATCCAGCTCACTTGTAGGTATCCCTTACATTGTCCAATCTGGTACATAATACTAATGTTAGCATAGATGGACGTGGGACTGGCGAGTGCAGAAAGCTCTCTGTCAATATTCCTGCTTTGATTCGGACGAGCATCAAACTGAAGACGGTCCACAAGTTCGACCAAGACTCGGTAAGAACCGTCCACCATTCGCACACAAGAGTTTTCAGTCTAACAAATGTCAAGACTCCTGGAAATGTACATATCTCCGATCTTACGGATCTGTACATTCTCATCCTCAACAAGATCCTGAAAGAGGAACCTATCGCTGTCGGAACTGATAGATACTTCTTCTCAATTGCTCATCGCATCAGCTGGTGGAAGATCATGGATAAGATTGCCGAGGGTCTCTACGCTCGCGGTCTTGTTGACGAGCCAACACCAAAGATTTGGCCCAACTACGACGTTGCAGCTGATGCCCTCGGATTTCCACGAAAATTCATTCGTCCCATGTGCATGCCCAAGTAGGTTTCCCTTGGCCTCAAAAAGATTCAAATGCTTACCAGTCTCAGTGGCGATCTCGAGCCGGCGAACGGAACCGCGTTGGGTTGGAGGCCCAAGCAGGACAGCGAACAGAAGTGTCTAGACCAGATTGAACAAGAGATCAAGGATGTTGAGGAGCTGGACACTGTCAGAATGGGGCTTTTCGACACTCTTATCGCCGAACAGAAACAGTAGACTGCATTACCCCCCGCGGGGATGTTTGTCTGAGACTCATCACGTCGCTTTCGAGATATATTGAGGTTGTTGTCATAGAAAATCCAGTACATGTTTTTAATAACTACCAATACTGCCACATGTTTGACTATGAATATCTCGTCTTGCAATATGATGCATTCGTATCATTTAGACAGTGTATATGTCGATATGACGCTCATGATGGCACCCTTCTGATGAGATCAGAGCATCCTGGAGC